GCATTGCCAGAGTTACGGATATGGCAGTGTAACACAACCTTTATTATAATGCTGTAAACCACACTTCAGCTGTCATAATAGTTTGGAACATAAACTGCTAATCATCCCTGCCTGTCCTCAAGTGTTACACAGCATAAAAGGCACTATGAGGTAAAAAAAAACAAAAAACAAAAAACAAACAAACAAAAAAAAAACCCACCAGAAGGAAAATGCCCACATCTCTCATTTTTCTGTAAGAAGGGGTATTTTTTTTTCCTCTTTCAGTGAAACAGTGCTCATAGCGCTGGCTTGGCAAAACTAGAGCAGCTTCAAAATGAAGACACCAGCACCTCACAGAAGGAAATCCAGTGGGAATGAAACACCTCATTGCCTGTGGGGAGTGTCACAGCTTGCTACAACGGCAGCTGATGGAAATGCTCTCTTAAAGCTTGAGGAGCTTTCTATGACGAAGAAAAAAAAAAAAAAGAGTGCCACTTTGGTTTGCTGAAAACCCTTCCACACACACAGAAGCCTCCAGGCTACCAACGTGCCTCTTCCATTCTCCCTGGAATTCCCACCCACATTGAAACAGAGCACACCTCCGGAGAAGCTGCTCTTTTCCTCTCCTCCTCTATGCAGCTGGCCAACACCACCAGCCAGTAGCAGGGCTGAAGCTTTTAAAAGCCTGCAGACAGGATCACCGGCTGGCCTCACTGCAGACTCAGCTGTCACCGGAGAAGGAGGAAGGGCCCAGGGTACCTGGGCCCTAGTACCTCACCCCTGCCCTCCTCCATGGGGTGGCCTGTGCTGCCTCACCTCTCACACCCCTCTAACTCTCCTAACGCAAACCCGTGTCTCCCCACACAAGAGTTACTCTTGTTGTGAAAGAAATCACGGGGATGTGAGGAAATGTGGGGTGTGCAGCCACCCTGCAACCTTTGCTCTGCCCCCTCGTGCAGGCACAGCCATGGCACCCTCTCTAATTACACGGCAGGTATCACTGTCACGTATCCCTTGCCTCATTCTGCGCACCCGCAACCAAAACGAGTGTTTCCTCACTTCTGAAACTACCTAAAGAACTCTCTTAGGAAGGTGCATGTGTGGGGGAGAGGGTTTAATTGTTAGATGCAACTTTATTTTTGCCTGCCATTAATCCTTCCTACCTGCTTGGTTCTCTACCCACCTCTGGATGTTTTACAACCTAGAGCTCACACAGCTTTGAGCAGGAAGTGCTCGGTCTATCATTATGCTTTACTCATATAAGTAAAAGCCCTCAATACATGAATCAAAATTAAGAGGTTCATGTTCCCAAATTAGTATTTCACAATTAATTGTAAAGAAGCTCAGAACAAATTATGATACTGAATAACTAGAAATTGGGACCAACTGAAAATGTATGAAATTTCAACAACTTTTTAAGATGAACGGGGGTCATCTTTAAGGTCTTCTGAACTTCAGCCACATCATCACCTTTTTCAGAGCCATTTTTCTACACATCACAGGCACCAGATTTAACTAAAAAATGTTCAGCATTTAGTATTCCCCTATCAAATTTCAATCAAACATGTACAGTGGAAGAGAAAATGCAAGAGGAAAATGCCAAATAGATTCTTTCATAGGCTTTTAAAAAATAAAAAGATAGTAGCAGTAGTAGTATATTATTTAAACTTTTTTTGTTATTGGTAGAATGGCTTTCAGGATTTCAGTGACCGCATTTCCAGTCTTAATATCCTGGTGTCACAATTAATACTAGTTTGTCTTTAATCAATCCACCGATTTGATTTTTCTGTTTAAAAAGCTACTTACACCAAGACCTTTAGTCATGCAGGGCTTTTTTCCCCCCTTCCAATTAATTAAGAGTAAGCACTGTAAAAAAACCCATCCAAGAAATAATTTCTAATACGACTTTAAGTCATTTAGACCACTGAACACTTAACAACTTCACACTACGTATCAGCAGTTATAACATGTATGCAACTAGTACCTGGAAAAACGTTCTAACGTAAGTTAAACAGAAGTTCCCCTTTACCTCTGCACACTGATTTTTTAGTCAGCAAAGCAAAGCAACCATTGACTGTTTATTCTCCCAGCTCTGTATCTCCCTTCCCTGTGCTCCAGGATCAGAATTTCAGGCCGACCTCCCTACTCGGTACTGGGACAGGGAGGGAAGGCTCACTTTAACAGCAAATTTTAGCATCTTTTCAGTTTGCAGCTCAAAACAATTACCAAGTTTTTGCATGGGATCTAGATTTCAGAGCTCAAACTGACCTTTACCTCTCCTCACCCAAACCTGTCTGGAATCCCATCTATAAAAATTAGAGGAACCCCAGCAGGATGTGACAGAACAGATGGTCACTTTTAGAAGCCATGTGAAAGCGCATGTACCAAGAGCATGCAACTCTAAGTTAGGGTAAAGAAAAAGAAAATTAGTTTGGCTTACTTGGATTGAAATCCTGAACACTTCTTCCCACCAAGTGCAAGAAAGCAAGTGCTTCTTGGAAAATTCAGAGGCAGAAAGGCTGCACTGACTCCAGAACTCTTTGCTTACCCGCGGAGCTCAAGGACGAGCCACAGAGCACCCGTCTGTTCTAAACCTTCCAGGGGAGAGCTAGACCACTGCTGCATGAAGAGTGTGAATTCTTGACGGGGGGACTGGGGCCAGGGAAACAGGATCACCAGAGGTTCCCCTGCCCTTCCCAGCCCCACTGCCCCCCTCCAGGCTCTCCACAGGAAGGCACCCTGGCAATAAAGCACCCATTCTTGTGAGTTACGGACAGCCCCTTGAAAAGATGTAGAAAACTTTAAACCTGAGCACCTTTCTAGATTACTGTCTGGAAAAGTCACTCCGTGTTTTTCTACAGCAAGAGTATTTTACTGATCCAAGTTTTAATAATGCATGTTCTGATCAACACTTTTGCTTTTTGTTGCACTGCAGTCACTATTTTGAAGTTATTATGGAAACAGGGTTAACCTGGGTAAGAAAGTTCCCGTTGACAAGCTGATTCACTTTTCTAAGCAATAGCTGGACACAGTGAGTTGAAGCGAGGCAGCAGGTAACTGCCAAGAAGCAACTGCGCGCAAACAACTATCTGAGCAGGAAACTAATGGTCCTTGGAAGAAATCACCATGAGTTAGGGATGAAAGAAAACTTTTTACATCTGTCAAATCTGTCCTGGTCCTACTTAGGCAGCTGACAGTTCCAGGTTGATCTTCACTGCCTTCCTCCGACATTTCCAAATTCAACACTTTTACTTTTTGGAATAACAGCAAAGAACAGACTGCAACAAAACAGTTGTGTCACATTTTTGTCATGCTGCTTCTCTGCGGTTCAAAAAAGATTTGAAAAGTGTTACACTCCCCAGGCACAATACCCAGCTTTGCTCTGCCAAGAAAAACTAACGCTAGAAAAATGCTCAGATGACATCAAACTGCATGCGCATCTGCCCTTTCGGTCACCAGGGTGCTCTCATCTGTTTGGGGGTACTGTCACTGTCACTGTCTTTTGCGAAAGGAGGATCCCAGCCTATTGCAGAAGGGTCGGAATGAATAGAAAGTAGACAAAATGCTACCTAAGGATGCCACATGTGATGACATGTACTAACACACTCTTACTATGCAGTGTGTTTGTCCCATCTCCCTGCCACTTCAGATATTCCCTAAAACAATTTCCTCATCTGCCCCACCTTCTTACCAAAACACTATGACTTCTCAATATAGGGTTTGTTGGTTTTTTTAAACTGTTCTTCTGGTTAAAACTACTGTCAGAGCCACAAAGTTTCACCTGCTACTGAGCAGAGAAAGTTAAAGGCACTGACTTGCACAGAGTTGTACGCTCAGCTCTGATGATACCTTACATGTCCGTTCAGACTCACAGTTTGCTCTAAGTTTATAAACTCAAAAGCGTTTTAAAGTCTTCAAGAGTAATGCGAGGAAAGAGGAAATTCAGATCTCTGTTCTCTGTCAAATTCAAAGTTTCCCCTAGTCACTATTAACCATGCTGTTGACCCAAATCGGAAAAGTGCAAACCATGACTTCTCCAAAAAATGACTAAACTGAAGTCCCTTGGAGAAAACTACAGGTGTCATTCACTTCTCAGCAAAAAGGCTGTCAGCGAGTGACAGCCGCTACTAAAGCCTAAGCTTTCGGAGCGCGGGTATGTTCTGCTCCCGAACAGCCCACGGTCGGTGGGGCCGGGGCTGCTGGCTCGGCGGGGACACAACAGTCAGCGGCGGCAGGAGAGCCCAGCTCCGCTCCAGAGGCGGGAGGCTGCCGGCTGCTACCTGCTTTCCAAGCACCTACCTGGGCAAAGGGAGGCTGCGCCCGCGCGGCTCTGAGCCTAGGTCTGAGGCGAAACCGTCAGAAAACGCAAAAGAGGGAGAGGAGAAGCGGGGACCCCCGGCCCGCGGAGCCCCCACGTCACCTCCCGAGGCCGCAGTAAGGCTGGCGTACAACCCCCCGCCACGCCCCGCGTCCTGGGCGGCCGCGGCCCGGGGGCCGGACGGGTCCCGGACCCACCGCCCGCCGGCGGCAGCGAGGGCGGGGCCCGGCGCGGCGGGGGCGGGGAGGGCGCTCCGCCAGCCGCAGCTCCCCCCCGGGCCGCTGCCCTCCGGCGGCGCGGGGGCCTAGCCCGGCCCTCGGAGGGAGAGGGGGAGGAGCCCGGTGGCGGTGCCCAGTGCAGGGCCGCGGCGCTGCTTCAGCCTCTGCCCCTCTGCGAAAGAAGTGGAGCGAAACGGCCGACCCGCCGCGGCGGCCAAGGTCGCTACCGTCCTGTCCTGTCCTATCCTATCCTATCCTTGCCGTGCGGGTCGTCTGACGGCCCCCGCTGGGCCGCCGCGTCGCGGCCCCGCGCTCCTTGGGCCCCGGCACTGTCGCCGTACCCGGGGTGCAAGGCACGGCAAACTTTCCCCTCTCTGCAGAGGGCCCCCCCCTTCCTGCGGCGTCGGCTGCGGTGCTCACCTGGGGTCGGGGGACAACGCGGGAGGAGGCGGTGGCGCAGCTGGTGCAGGATGACGAGGAGGCCAATCCAGTACACCCGGAGCAAGGGCACCGGCGCAGACAATAGCGACATGGCCGCCTCCCGCCCCGCGGCGGCTGGCTCGGGGCGAGGTGCGGAAGGAGTTCGGCAAGCGAGCAGGCGGCCTGTGAGCGGCGCGGTGGCTGGCCGCCGCCGCCGGGCCGGGCAGGGCCGGGGTGGGGGGCGCGGCGCGGCTCGGCCCCCGCCCAGCGGAAGGGAAAGCGCCGCCGCTGTCAGAGCAGCGCCCGGGCGCGTCGCGGCTCCCACCCTTCTGGGCATGTGCGGCGGGGGAAGGGCCGCGGCGCGGCCGGCCCGGGGAGGGAAGGGGCGGCGGCGGGTAGACCGGCCGCTGGCAACGGCGGGGCGGCGGCTCGGCCCCCGCCGCAGCGCCAGGGGAACTGGGGACGGGTGAGGGGAGCCGCGCGGCGGTGTGAGTCAGCAGCGGGGAGGCGGTGTGACAGCCGCCCGTGAGGCCGCCGGTCTGAGCGCAGCGGCTCTGGTTGCCGCGGCTGTTACAGCTACCGGCAGGCGCGGTGCCGCACGGGGATGAGGCTCTGCCTCAGACCCCGTGGCTGAAGGGAAGCACTGAAGCTGTCTCGTGATTTCCGTTCTCTCTAGCACAGGTGAAGGGCTGCTCCTGCTGCCGAATCCCATGGGCATCGCTCTGCCTGGGCTCGACCCCTGCCACCTCGGGCATCCGTCAGGCTTCCTCCTCTCGCGGTCGCGGCTCTGGCAGTTGCAGATGCAATTTAGGAACACAGAATAGCTAGATTGGAAAGACCTGTAAGATCATCAAGTCCAACCTCTACCCCAGGATTGCCAGCGCCACCACTAAACAATGTCACTAAGGGCCTCATCTGCCCTGTTCGTGAACACTTCCAGGGATAGTGACATTTCTCCAAATGCAGCTTTATGCTCAAAGCCTCCCTGAATCTTATACAAGCCTGAATTTTATACAAGCCTGATGAACACATTCTTTACAGTGATACCTACTATGTAATGTGGTTTACATCTAAAGGTTTGTCAAGTTTTAAATTCTAAGCCTTATTTTTAAGACTTGAACTACTTGGAACAGAGTACTTCCTACCTACCAGTCCTTCTGGTAGACAGCAGTTCTCCACTACAGGAAATAGAGCGCTTAGCCCTGACATTGTGGTTTTCATGCACAGAACTGCTGGGTTTTGTAATGGCAGTAGAGCCTCAGTATCAATAGAAAACAAAAAAAATAGTCATTTCACAAGGGGAGAGGTTGACCTCTATATTCAATTTAAGGGCCTTCGGTAACATTTTGAGGATGATGGGGAGTCATACGAAGTTTGGAAGAGCATTTGGAATGTAATCTCTTTAAAAAAATAAACAAACATGCTTTCTAGAAAAAATAAAATTAACAATATACTTTTTCAACGTCAGATCAGATTGCTCAGTAGAACTGACTTTCTGTATCCTGTCGGAAATATACATCAAGTAAAACCATAGTGTGCAGCTACTCCAGGACAAACCCAACCATTTAATTGTATGTATCTCTGGTGAATTACAGGGTTTTTTATTAACACATGAAATTATGCAAAGATAAATAAGAAACAGAGCATCATGAAGTCACATCAAGGAAGGATTCATTCTTAATGTATATCATTCTCAGCCATGCACGGAGTGGTAGAAAGAGCATCACATAAAAAGACATGAAAGAAGAAGCACTGACATTTAGTAAAGGTGAATTATGCTTTCAACTTATCTCAGTTAAAATCAAATATTGACTCCTTTATGTTCTCTTACAACCTTTTCTCACAACTAGAGCATTAATGAAAGCACTTTGCAACATTAAACTGTGGAACTTGCCTACAGTGTATTTACACGATCTGTATATAAATATATTATGCTTTCTCAGGGTTTCTAGTATAATAAAATCAATTGATGTGTATTCAAGCTACAGTAATAAATACTCTGTCTTTTTTCACACTACACTATCCAAAGAATTAGACTAAGTGGGGAACAAACAATGGGTTAACATTAGGATCTTAGTGGTCCTGCTATTTTTTCTCAAGGTGTTTAACTGATTTTCAGCCCTCCATGAGTATGGATTCACAGAAAAGGATGAAGAAAATTTGTTTTAACCCTAGATTAAATTATTTTTTCTAAAGGTTGATGAGGCATGGAGGAAAAATGAAAATATTAACAAAAGCCTGTACGTCTGATTCTTTTCCAATACAATGTATCAAAATTTTACATGATACTTCCTTTATTTTTAGTTTTCAGTAGTCACCATCTTCTGATTGATACTTCGTTTTTTTTCTTGCAGTCATTAACTGTGAGGCCTTGAGTATTTGGGCTGGAATTTCGTCCACCTACTTTAGATACTTTACTGAGATGTTACTACCTCAATGAAATTTTAGGTGTCTGAGCCCTGGAAGGGATGAAAGGAGTAATCTAATTGCTGCAGCTTTGCTGTACAGGCAGTGGACAGAGAGGGCACTTCTGAAGACCTGCAGAAGATGACTGCTTCCTTTGAGGTGCTTACAGTGCTTCCTTCTTTTCACCAATTGCAGGAGAACTCACAGCTCCAGTGGGCAAAACCAGCCTGTAGTCAGAACACAGATTATCCTCTTGGAAAGTCGGAAACTCTCCATCCACACATGACCCAGCTTCTCTGTCCCTGCTGCAGACTGGCACTAATGAAGCAGTAGGTGATCACAGTGCTTTCACCCACATTTTGCATAAAGCCATAAGAAAGGAAGTAGGTGATGTTTCTAGATTCTAATTAAGCCCTGAGCTCAAACTCCTCAGCAGAATGGCATAATCAGCAACCACTGGGTAGCATGGATGGTAGGTATTGCAGCTGAGCACCTGTGCAGGCAGGAACGTGCAAGGCACGGGGCCACATCAGAGCAGACAAAAGCAAACCCAAGGTTAGCCTTGCACTTCAGATGCTCTCTGGCCTGGGGTGAAGGGTTATGAGATTATGCCCTAATTTTCTTGCTTGTTCCATGACAATCTCCTGTACAAGACATCTTTTCCAGGTGTGTGAATTTGCTTCCCTTGGTTTTGCTCCCCTGGAGATAAGAACTGGAGCCAACAACTCCTAGTAGTCACCACACAGCCGTTCAAGAAGTTCAGTAGGAGAGGGCGATGCCTTTCGCCCAAGCGTGGCGTAATAATTGCAGCAGTCTCGTAAAATGTCAACAGTGTCACCCTGTCAAACAGTAAAATGAACGCTTCCGCTCCCCTGCTTAGCTTAAGACATGCACTCTGTGTTTTGCACGTATGTCAAAGCTGATGGCCCAGGCCGGAAGAAGCCAGACATAATTCTGACTGCTGCTAATTTTTCAGGCTTCTAAAAAGGATTTAAATGCCTGTCTTCCTAAACTGGATTGCAGTGGGACTTGAGGCAAGAGATAAGTGCCTATCTTCCCAAAACAGGATCTCCTTAACATGTGTGGGTGAACAAAGTTAAATGCTGGAGGAGCTTTCAGGTTCAGGAGGGGGTGCTCACAGGATTAGGCGGTGCTGGGAAACAGTCAGTTGGGATTGCATCTGGAATTCATGTGGGGTTCTGAGCATTTGCAGACAATTCTGACAGGCTGCATGTGCCTTTTTTCCTCCTCTATGGAAAAAAAAAAAAAAAAAAAGTCATTTTAGGTACCTCAAAACGAGGAATCGGCTTACTTGATACTGGGCATGTAAGCATTGCAGGACCCTATGGAGCAGTAAGCTCTTGGGCACTCTCTGTAGTAGCTTGGTGAGGATCGATTACCTGGAAGGGGAAAGAAACTTTGCCAAGGGGAGAGGTGTCTGCAAGCAATGAGTAGGAAGTCCCCGGGACTGAGAGCAGGCTTCTCTGCTGTGAGCTGTCATCTCACAGGATACATTCATTCTTCTTTAGTAATGCTGGGGGAGATAGAAGGTAAGTGTAACACCGACCTTCCATGTAACAAAATCAGCGCTACAGCATTTGCCCATGAAGGGGGATGACTTTTGATCTATGTCAGTCTTTTTCAGATATTTCACTTTTCAAGAAAATAATCTCATTGGGAAAAACCAACCCTTGCCAGTGTGGCTGTACTCAGAGGGATAGGAAGCCCAGGAACACGTTAAAGAAAAGAAATCTGATGTTTTTCAGCCCACTATTTAAGTTCATGGGAAGAAGGGGACAGAGTTCCAGTCCATGTTCCCTGAAAAGGCTATGCTTTTTAGGCTAGAGAAGAACAGGGTGAAATACAGACTAATAATCGCAAATAGAGTCCTGGAATAGGGACAGCTTCCCCTCTTCAACTAAATGGTCACACCATTCAGCTATCATGTAACAAGCATAGTGTGCTTACTACTGCCTCTGAGTTTTTTCAAAGTGATTGTCCCTGCAGCAGCTATTGTATTTGTGTATCTGAGTATTCAGCATATGTCTTGCTTTCTGGATGTATCTAGTCTGGAAAGCCTGGAGCATGAGTAGTTGGGGCTGGGTTTGCAAAAATAAAAATAAGATCTCCAAACATGTGGATTTACATACAACCCTTCCTCAGGAACACAAGTATAAAGCAGGTGAGCTGCCACATATAGGCTTTTGTTAAGAAAATCCTTCTGTCATCGAACACTTCAAAATAGTGAATCAATTTAGAATTAAGTAGGGGCATTAGCAGCCTGTAAACTGTACTCATCACCTTTCCTGGTGAATTGGCTGGAAGAATAACAAATCATCTGCAAATTTCAGATGTAGCAGGGACTAACCAGCATTATTTCAGTAGTGAGGAGTCAGTTCTCAAACAGTTCCAGGACTTTATTTAAAAACATCCATAAGTAGATAAACTGATTATTTAACGTTGATGAAGTTTCAAAAGCCCTTTGACAAGGTGCTGTGCACAAAGGATGCTAAGCACTCAGGGGATCAGACCCACCATATTTACAAAACAGAAGAACCGACACTAAAAAAAAAGAGCAAAACAAAGTGACAAATCAAAGCAAAACAAGAGCAGGGTGAGAAGCCTCCATACTGTCCAACCCTGACTAATACATTCCTTAATGTCTTGGATGGAGTAAGGGAAAAGCTGTTGCACCAAAATGGCATGGTGTTACTTCTGTTAGTCAAGGTGGGAAAGGAGCAGGGAAATACCAGACAGATTTAAACATGTGAGGTAGACTGGCAGAATTCCAACACTGATAAAATAATGCTATTGAGAAAAAGGATTAATTAAGCCCACTACAGAAATGGATTTGTTGACAGTTCATTTGTGTTAAAAAAAAATATCTACTGTCAATAACTGTCATGTGGTTATTTCAGTGTTTGTATAGCGATGTCTGCAAGCACCTGTGGCATACCCTGTGCAGCACTGCCCAACCCACAGCTAAGAGGATTTTGTTAGGGTTCAGCAAACAACCAAGGAGATGATTACAGTCCAAAGCAAGTGTCTTCCATGACACCAGGTCCTCCATGTGTCTTTGATCTCTTAGCTGTACTGTAAGATAAATACGTCTTTCATCGGAAACTCTGCTAGCACCGTTCTAATGTGAAGGAAATAAAAAAGCAGAATCACCCCTCACAAACTGGGTATCATGAGTTGATCTGCACCTGTATTTCTGTTAGACTGCTTGCAAGAATACTCGAGTACTGTGTACAGCAATGTGTACACAATTAAAAGTCTGTGGGGAGAACACAGCAGGCAAGCTTTCAGGCACACATAACCCTGCCTGTCCTCTTAGCCAAACGGGACTATGACAACACTGCTACTGTTAGTATTCAGGGTTCAGTAACAGAGTTCACTGGTCTCATCCATGCTGTCTGCAGGCACTTCCTTGAAGACTGCACTCACCGCTGTCACAACCAGCCAGATGGACTTGAGAAGCAGTGGGATCAAATCCTGCAAAGATGTGGGAGCCTTGGTTTTGGGCATGCCGGCTGAATTAGATCCCACACATTATGGATAAGCAGGTGACTCCACGCCATAAGCAGGGTCTCCTCACAGTGGTGATGATGGATGGCCAGGTCAAGGAAGCTGGGAGGTGGAATCTGGATATCAGAATCTTCAGAGCAGTACAGAAATGGATGCAGTGTCAAGGACTGTGCCATACAGAAATGAGTGTGTAGTCATGCCTGTGGCTGACATTTTAAGCACTCATGCTACTTAAATGAGGGCAATTCTTGCCTGTTACAACTTTTTCATACAGCTTGAAGTGACCTGGCTTTGTGCCCCAGTCTGTCTGAGTGCCTCACACCAGTGTGAAGAGGCTTTTCCTCATGTATTCCTATTTCACCAAGTGACTTCTTAGACTGGAGCTAATACATGTTGTCTTTAGGACCCATGCTGGTTTTGTACTTAACTGCACATATTTCCTGGGCTCCTTGGGGGTAGGTCCTGCCCGCAGCGCTCTGTGACTTCAGCACGGGAAGAGCATCTCTTATTTCTGCTGTTGTTGTTAAAGACTGTCTGGGGTGTTCCCGACTGCCTGTCTCTAGGCTGTGGCATATGAGAGCAAATGCAATGATGGGTAAAGAGATGAGTAGAACAAGCTGGAGGCAAGATCAGGCCAAACACTATGCAAATGCTGAGCAAAGGAACTAATGCAGATGACAGAAGATAGGAGTTGTGAGAAAGGCTAGAGGTGAGCTGGCTTTGGTTTAACATTGATGAAAAATGGTTCAGCTCACTGTTAACCCAGATCATGGCATGCAGCAGGAAGGATGAAGACAGGCAATTTTCTGGTCTGTAGGGTCAGTACATCTGAAAGCAAGTGGAGCTGAAAAGCTCACTTGCAGTAAAACCATTTATCCTGTAATGGGGCTGGAGCAACACAAAGGAGTGCTCATGGGGTGTGTGGAATGTAGACCACAAACAGGAGGGAGGCGTAGAGTGACCTGAGCTGGGAGGTGGCTGAAACCCCAGTGTTCCCTTTCTCCCTTCTATACTGAATATATTGGGGGACTATTGAGAATCAGGGAG